TTAGTTCTTATCATTAATTCTCAATACAATTCTCTTATATCTTTATTGTTCTGTTATTTTTTAAAGATGACATTGTATTTTATTTTTTTTATCTTTTTATTATCCACGAATATATAAAATATTAATTAAAAATATATATATAGTGAATTCAGAAAAGCAGATTCAGCCAGATGAAACAAATTCAACTAAACTAAAAACCAAAATAATAAAAATCAAAAACTATTAATACCGAACCAAATTCTTTTTTCGATTCGGTTTTTAAATAACCTATCGGTTCAGTTTCTAAATGCCCCGCCCTAGTTGCAATCCCATGATTTTGACCATAATCAGGATCGAATTAGGACCGCTGACAGGGATTAAAGACCATTGTACTTGTTGCAGTAATGCAGCATCTGATCACCTCAGAAGAAAATTATTAAATTAGGCAATGGTACTAATAATGCAGGTAATCAGGCAAAAGTATTTTGAGGCGTAGCAGAAATTTGACTATCGACCCACTTCGCTAGTTTGCTAAATTTAGGCAAATGTCGTGTTGTCATTTCACGGCAACCAATGAACAATTTTATTGACAGAAGTTTCTATGAAATTGCAAGGAAAGCTTTCGGTCCCCCGAGCCAAGCATGAAAAGGGGAAGCAGTGGAAATAAGTAAATAACAATACCATAATGCATAAAATGTCAAGGAGGATTTGAGCATACAAAGTTCCATGACCAAAATACTATTGAAATTCAATTAATTATGTTTGTGTATTAAAACCTTAAAATCATGTGAAAACCTTGAAAATTCATATTTTAATCTATTAATTTTAAGTGAATGGTCTTATGTTTAGGATAACTGAAATGATATTTAAGTTTTTATCGGTGAATAAATTAACATTTAGTTTTTATGAATATTATAATCCTTAACTTTAATTTTAACAATTGAAGTGTTATGTTAATAGGAACCAAATTTGAAAGGAGAAAAAAAAGGGGATAAAATAAGAAGAATATAATTTTTTTTAGAATGTCTAATGATGGACTATATATCATTTTCCAAACCCTTCCCAAGTTTCAATTTAAAAACCTCCCATATGAAGGCTAAGGATTGATGATATCTGTTTCTTAAAAAACATAATGCTATTTGTTGAAAAGAAAAAGGGGGGAAGTTGAGCTAAGAGAAATGGGCAAGCAAGGAGCTGATAGAGGAAAGAAAGAAAAAGGGGCTAAAGCAGATAGACAAAGAGGTCCACAAAGGAACAACCTTTTATTTATTTGCATAGCATTAGGCAAATGGACCATGTTATGTTGGTTATCATAAATACATTCGCAATGAATGCCCATTACAAATTTTTGGCTTTCATTTATATGGGAAAAATAATAATATTTTTATGTACCGAAAAGAAAAAATCATTTTTTGCTATTAATCAGATTAGGCCCATGGCTATCATTAATTTCTTTTTTTTTTTTTCATTGTTGAATGGCAGAATAGGGAACCCAAAATTGGGGAACAAAATTAGCTAGTTCTCTTTTTCAAAATATAAGTAGTTTGATTTTTTTTTTATATGTATCTTTAAAGAAAAAAAATTTGTGTAGTATTTCAATTACAATTAACTCTTCTTTTTTCAAGATAAAAAGAAAAAAATGAAACTACTTAACAAATTTTTCATAAGAAAAAGGAAGTATCTTGAAACAAGGTGGGCAGCATTTGACAATTTAAGAGTGATTCCAGCTAAAGGTGAAAGGAAATTTTTAAGCAGTGGCATCCGGGTGAGGCGAAATTAGGTCAATGTTTATGGGTCTAGGTGGGCTGCTGTTCGGTGGGTAGGGGTGAATTTGATGCTTTAAAGACCTATATAGATATTTAATGTAGTTGTTGGGGGTGTTTATTAGTTGGAAGCCTCCAACTTCAATTTTTTTATCACATCAGTCTAAAAACCGTATTGAATGATCATGTATCATAAATAACATGGACAATTGAATGCTAAAAAACCAAAATCCATTTAGAAGCAAATTATAAAAATATACTCTGATCTTACAAGCAATCGTTTTCTCCTCCTTCTAGGTTTCTTGGTAAGAAGAGTATAAATCTAATGACTATCATTAATTTACCTTGCACACAAAAGCTGTACGTGTGAATATCACTGTCTAGAATGGCATAAAGCAGAAGTACTTATTAAACCTTTTAATTCTGCCCATGTGGCCACTTTTCTTCTGCCCCTGGCTGGTAGAAGGTGTGCAGTTATTGTAAGAGGCAGAGGATGATGAAGCTTCACCCTGCCTGTCTCTTTTCTGATTTCTAACAGGATTCAGGGCCTTATTGACGGGATCTCTATTCTCCCTGGCTGGTGAGTTGCTTCGAACATTCTGTAGAGAGCCTGCCAAGAAAATCAGATTGAAATGGATGAAATACTGATAATGAAATGGATGAAAGAGCATCTTGTAATTTAAAACAGACATGGAAAATTCATTACCAAGGGAAGGTTTTAATCATCTGATAGATTCTAATGACCTTGTGAAAGACATGCAAACCATTAGGCCTAACAGATATTCAAATATATGCAGTGTAACTAAACTGCAAGGCTTACAGAAAGTAGTTTCCGAGACAGAAATGATAGTGGTTGTCACACCATCAGATTAGAAATTCAGCCTGTGCTAGTAAATTCATGCATGAGTATCCAAGAATCAAGATCCCTCTCCGCTAATAGACAATTCCGTAGGCATTTAATAGCTAAGTCTTGTACATAAAAGAGAAAAGAAAAAAAAGAAGCTCACTGTCCACGGTTCCTGCAATTAAAATAAGCAGCTAATGCAGCCAACTGGCCTGTACTTTCCAGGTTAATTTCAACCAAGCATATATAACAATCTTCAGTTGCTTAATGTTGCTGTCTTTTCCATATTCTACATATTCATTTTACTTTTAGAAAGTAGAGAAACTTTGATTAAATGATTTACTGTGTCTTTTAGGATATTGAGATATTTTTCACCCCACAATTGGTTGAATTTGCATCATTAAATTCTAATTACCATCTATACTCATAGATAAGAAAATATCGCTGTTATCAGCAGGCCTGATATAGGTTTGTTGAAGAATAGTAAATTGCCAGCCAGCAGTTCCAGCACAGGTTTGTCTTAAAATAGTTCCAAGAATGTAATTTATGTGGGTTGAAAAATCAGATGCATTTCAAATTTCAAGGGAAATAAGAGAAACAATTAAATAGGGCAAAAGACCAAAAACTCCAGCAATGTCGAGCAGAATGCATGAGAAAAACCAAGAAGAGAGGTAGCAGAGTGAAAATTTGGCATACCTGAAGTAGCTGGAAGCATAACTGTTTTGGTAGGTTTGTGAGAAACAGATAAGTTAAACCTGTAATCTGCATTCCTCTGCTCCAAAACTTGGTCAGTTTCAGGCTCAAGTTCTTGCAACAGAGCCAAAGAATCAAAACATTCATCTGAAGACATGGTCACACAACTAGAATTTTCTGAACTTGAAGGTGATGCAGGATCATCGAGATCCAGCAATTCAAGGTAGTCATCCTCGCTTGAAATATAATCAGCTTCAGGTGCGTTTTCTACACGATGATCAATAACTCTCTCTCTAACAGCAAATGGAACTGTCTCATAATCCTTGTTCACCTACAAATTATTAGTAGGCCTCAAAACAAAAAGAGAGCAACCTGCAGATAGCCATTCTCAAAGATACAAGAAAAAAAAAAAAGAAAAAAAAAGAAAAGAAAATTGCTTTGATTCAATCTCACTCTAAACATAAATCATAGAAAAAAAGCTTGCACATGGTTCCTCTAGCTAGAGCTGCCAGGTAGTCTAATCAATAATGGTTAGTTAAATAGCATTAAAAAATAACATGCAACCAGAAAAGAATGTTATCCAAGCGATTCTTAAAATTTGGAATCTACAAATTTCCCAGTCTGTTAACCATAAACCTTGTAAAGAATAGATTCCAACACCAAAGAGCATCTGACAGATATATTTGGTGACCCCAAATCAGATTATTAAGAAAAAGAAGAAAAAGCTGAAACATTTGTAGTTCTATATAAAAGCCAACAAACAGAATTATTTGGAATTTTCTAACTTGTGCACTAAGGGTGCATTCATTGCACCTTTCACTATTAATTTACATGGAAAAAATAAAAGTTGACTCTACTTTTATTAACTATCCACTTAAATTGTTCTACATGGTTTTACTGTTGGAAATAAAGTTTACTTTTGTAATTTTCCATACAAATTAATGATAAAAAAAAGCAATAAATGCCCCCTTAACCTATGCCCTTAGGGCACATGTTAGAAAAACCCTTTTCTTAGGAAGAAAATTTAATGAGCATACTAGATCAGCTGTTCATGATGTTGTTAAGTGGTTTAAAATATGATCTAGAAATTAAGGTCAAATAATTGATATGTTACTCAAATCCAACCTGCAGCATTAAAAAAATACAAGGATGCTAAGACTGACATACCTTGGCCTCACTAGTTGAATGTACTCTTGTAACACCATCACCTCTTAGAATAAGCTGTTCTATTGAGTTATTGTGTTGTGTAGTAGTATTATCAGTAACAGACGTTTTCTGTTGCATATTCTGGTCAGAGCTCTGCTCACCACCACGAAAGACTCTGCAGAGCATGCTGGCTTCCTGCATACCATCCAACCAGAGTGGGTCATGACTGGTGGATCAGGTTGGGGTTAAAATAAAATGAAGACATAAATAAACAAGTTCATAGGGTTTGCAAATTCCATTGAGTACCTTCTCCATGCTGTTCTCACATGGTATCTTCTGAGTTATGCTAAACACTTGCATGAGCCAAGCAGTTTTACTTTCATGAGGAGCTTGACCAACATAGTATTGTAAAGTAGCTCTCCAACCAATGATGTTAGAGTTTGAGTATACCTCACAGGCCTCCCCATTGTTCTTCCAATATCCACATTCTGTACCTATATTCTCCTTTGACTTAAACAGATACCAGATGCCATCTGCATAAAGTGATTATTTTATAAAAAATTTAGTTCCTATTGCAGAAAGATGACTCTCAGATTTATCTTTTGCATGTAACATGGTGTATAATTTGCATTATCCAAATGAAAAAAAAAAAAAAATGCTTGTCATGGAACAGATCTGTTGCTTAAATTTACTTGAAAAAGGAATTGCAAACATATATCAAAATTAAGCATCATCTGAAACTCAAGAAATGAAATGAAAATGATTTTGAAGTCTTCAAACCATTATGACTAAACAAAAATATGATGCAGTGTGTCAAATAATCGATCCAGCAAGGTTTTACTGAAGAAAATAAATGATCCTTACCTGGCATATCATCAGGTATGAACACATAAGGATCTACAACATCAATCACATTATCAGGGAGAGGAGATCCAGTCCCCATTCTTCCAAGAGCCATAAAGATTTGTTCATCTGTAGAGTCAAAACCAATAAAAGCAGGACAGGAAGGTTCTGGAGGACTCATGATCATCCAATTCAAGTGAAGGTAAACCAATCCTGACCAAAATCCTTCTTTGTTCCAGTAGAAAAAGGAAGGCCTGTCTGTCAAACTGTTGAAACAAAATTAGTCAACAGGGAATAAGGTAGTCAGATATCAAGCTTCATCCATTCATGAAGAATACAATCGCAAATCAAAAGGAAAAAAGATAAAACTTGCACATGACTCACACGAAATGAACTTGTAAAAGCGATCATTTTGCTTTCCCAAAAATTGTTTGTGTTGTTAATCAATGTCAGGTAAAGGAACCAAAGGGCAAAGCAAAAAGAGTAAACAAAGGAACATAAAACAGTGTTATTGTAATTTACATTCCAAGTTTCCTAATCATAATTCGCTACACCTTAGATCTAGGAAGATCATTGAAATGCATATATTGTGGATAGACAAAACTCACTAAAGTCCTAATCTCAAACAAAAATGGGAATAGCATCCTAAAGGGACATTTACATTCAGTCAAAGCCAAATAAGCAATGATAAAACTCATGGCCAAAAATCTCAATTCACATATAGATAATAGAATAAGTGATCTATGGCAAGATAGCTTTATCTTATATCAATTATAAGCAACAATCAGATTACTGGCTGCTTCCTCCTGTTGGGTTGCAGAACACTAAAATTGTAATAATTCTGAGCTAAGACATGTTTATTTTCTTGAATTTTAACAACTCTGATCATCACTAAAGACATAATTTTGGTCAAAACTTCAATTCCCTATTTGGTTATGTATTGATGCACCCAAATACACAAATTAGGGGGAAAGGGAAAGAAAAAGTAGAAACCCTACCTTAAATAACCCCGTCGCCTTCAATCAACAATCTGTTTCACAAAATCAAACAAACATCAAATTAAAATTATACCCAGTTATGGAAACTAGCTCTTTCTTGTTTAGTTTCCAAGAAAACGCAACAGAAGAAGAGAACAAACTATAAATTTCATGTCTCTCTCCCTTTTTGGGTCCAATATAACTAAAAACTCCCATTCCCCTGAGTCCCTGACTAGCACAGACCTCATTGACTCAGTTCACAACAAATTCTCCCTTTACCCATTAACAGAAAGGCAACACCTTTACTTTCTTCCATTTTCTCATCAACCAAACAGAACCCATCAACTCTTGAACAAACTACTAAACAAATTAATAAAAATATGAAACTCATGATATCGAAAAGCAGGAAGACGAGAGCTTTTACCTTGAAGACGATCGGAGGAGCGACGGAGCGGCTCCTTCGTTTATCTAACTCAGTAATCAAACACGAAAGTAGTCGTCCGAACAGGATATTTATAACGCTGAGGAGTATACACTGACTCTGCAACTAACCACGGTTGAAAATTGCAGTTAACTAAGCTGATTAGCGGATTTTAGAGCATGTCGCGCTGCTGTGGTGGTGGCGGCTTCTGATTGGCGAGGATATGTAATCGGGTGAGTGTAGGTTGACAGACAATCCCGTGTTCAAAGCCATTCATCCTTTCCTGGAAATTTCCATTTTGAGAGACTCGCGAGAATCTCACCAATAGAAATGCTTTTTGTTTTAACGGAGAAGGGATACTCCGAAAATCTAATAATAACCAAATATGATAAAATTAGTACTGATGTTATTATCTCCAATCACATGACATATTATGATTAGATATTATGACACATTTAATATTATGATTAATATTATAATGCTTTAATTTTTTTAAATAAGAGTGTTACAAAAAAAATAAATTTTTTTCGTCTTAAAATAATTATTTTTATTTGATTTTAAATTTATTGTAAATTAATCGTCATCTTTTTATTTTTAAAGTAAATAAATATTTTTTTAATTTAATTATATTATTATTTATTTT